GAACCCCCGACCTTCCGATCATGGGGCCACCACCCTAATTTAGACATCACTAATTCTCCCAACACAAAAGAAAAAGACCTATTGCCTCACTTTTTATTTGAGTGTGTGACATTTATTCTAACATGTATTTTACACACTTACCTAGAGCAGCTGTGCTTATAATTTTTTCCAAGTGTGTGTGTGTGTGTGTGTGTGTGTGTGTGTGTGTGTGTGTGTGTGTGTGTGTGTTTATATAGACATTTAAACACGATTGTAAATACATTCTGCTTCTAGAAACGGACGTTTTCCGATAAGTGAACCAGCTGTATCTCCGACACGCAGACTGTGGTTAAGACTTTGGAAACCTTCAGTGAAGGTGCACATACAGATCGGGAGATGCTGGCTGAGCCAGGGGGAGAGGGCCATAGGAGAGGAGAGGATGATGAATTCATGAAACCTTAGTTATGTTTCCTCCAAGTGGACTTTTCACTCAGGCCATAATGATGAAATCTGATTGAACTGCTGCTGAACTCAATATTAGATCCAGCCTGCAAAACACTGTAGCAGTGCTTGTGTGGTGTTTGGTGGAGCTTAGCGTGAATTTAGGATCATCAGAGTGCAATTTTACAACTGACATGAAACTACGTGTTGCTGTAATGCTCTTGTCTCACATCACACTTCTTTCTCTGTGTTTCTCAGACTACCAGCGGTTGATGACAGTGGCAGAGGGCATCACCACCCTCCTATTTCCCTTCCAGTGGCAGCACGTCTATGTTCCCATCCTGCCAGCCTCCCTCCTTCATTTCCTAGATGCACCTGTTCCCTACCTGATGGGCCTGCAGTCCAAAGAGGGCACTGACCGCTCCAAACTTGAGCTTCCTCAGGAGGTACAACATCAGCCTGGGTAGCGTTAATGCACAGACCAGCCACAACATTAAAACCAGCTGTATAATATTAATTACTATCGACCAGGAGTCCTACCAGGCAGGGTACCAGTGTTGGTGTCTATGGTCTGGCACAGGATGCTGGCCGCAGATCCTTTGAGTGCTGTAGGTGTATGGTGCCTCTGTCACTGGGCTTGATCAAGCTGTGGATTCATGAAACTGCATCAACAATGGTCAGAAGGCAGCCAAGTTTGTGAACGCCGTAACTCGAGAATGAAGGATTTTCATAGTTATGTCACAGGTGCATCTCCTAGAAATTTGGGACTAGTTTAAATCTGACTCTTGGTCAGGCAGAGGTGAAAAAGTACAGACGTTCTGTATTTAAGTAGAAGCGCAGATACTTGTAAAAATACTCCGGTAAATATCAAATTACTGGATCAAGAGGATGACTTCACACATGAGTACTGTCAGGGGTCAACGTGAGATACAGCATGTGCTGTGGCTCAGCACAGGGAAAAGAGTCACAGCTCACAGTCATTTCTAATGTGAGTTTCAGTAGATTTCCTTTGTGTACAGGCTGTGATTAGCTGGTCTGCTGCTCTGTGTGGATTTACAAAACTGATTTCAACAAAATGTAAGCAGATGTTTCACAAGCTATAAGACAAAATGTCTTAAATTTGTCAGTTACTCAGCCGTCCTTACCTTTAAATCCAACCTCTCTTCTTCCTCTCCGTCTTTCTCATCTTTATTTCTGACTAAAGTTGTCTCTCACTCTTTCTCTGTGTTTGTTGATGTTTGTTTGTACATTGGATGCCCCTTAACCCTTTAAAGCCGGTCAGAGCAGCACGCTCCGTTTTGCGTAACTATTTTTAAATCCCTGTAGAACCTGAACCGCGTAAGCTAGCGCAATGATTTTTTTTGCATATGAAAGCGGAGGAGTTGTACTTACATCTGATGCCATCAGCTTGTCCTCGGTCACGGTTTCCTTCCACATAAAGCTTTGCAAAAACTGCATAAAAAGCTCTTGCAGGAACAAAAACATAATATTCCAGAAACAGGCTTTGCTGATCTGATCAGCTGTTCGTAACACTTCCCACAGTGAAACAGACGTCAGCGCGAACGATCGCATGTCCGCCATTTCCTGTCCGAAACCGGAAGTGACGTCATTTTGCGGAAAATGTAGTTTTTTTTACTTGTAGGCCTTAAAAGCCCATACTGGTGTTTTTATAAGTCATGTTTGACTTTATGCTTTTCTGAATAGTTGCTGGGATGCTTAGAACTCGAACTTCACTGCTGGAAATAGTTTATTTTGATGCACCTGCTGTTTTCTTTGCAAATTTGCATCATAGGATTGTTTTTCATTTTTCCTGCAGTATATAAAAATTGCTGTATCTCCAAAATAAAACTATGAAGACACTCAAAATAAATTTCCTGTTGTTGTAAACTATTTGTTGCAACTTTTTTGTATTTACAGTTTTGAGGGATAAACCTCTTAAATTTCTCCAAGTAGAAATATATGTAAAAAAAACAAAAACGATTTTCAATTTTTTTGTAGTTTATTGCACTTTTTTGCAATTAATGTAGTTACTATGGACTTAATGCATACATATTATTAAAATATGGGCTATAACAGTTGTATTGATGTATAGCAACTTGAAATGCTCCCAAAAATGGCTCCACAGCATGTAAACATATAAAGTAAGCTCTGGCGGACTTGGTTCTATGGTAGGTCTTAAAGGGCTAAAAAAACATTATTCTCTTTAAATAAACCTAGAGTAACAGGCATGTTTAAAATGTAGGGAGTAAAAGTTGTCAGAAGAAACATACAGATACCTGAAAATTCTACATAAATACAGTAACGAAGTACTTTGTTTTGTCCCACCTAAGAGGTCAGAGGTCAGGTTTTCTGAAACTCTTGTGAACACAAAACTCCAGAAAGATGTCACCTAGGATTTTTGCATTTACACCAGATCAGGATGTCATCTGTATTTTTATAAAAATGTTCCTTTTCGGAGCACCCAAACTGAAAAGCTTGTAACAGGAAATTGTAATAACATAGAACTTAATTCATAATTTCACATCTTCTAGTTTCTGTTCAGGTGTGTAAGTAACCTCCTTTAAGTCTACACACACACACACACACACACACACACACACACACACACACACACACACACACACACACACACACACACACACACACACACAAAACAAACACACTTGCACATTTAAATGACACACATTTTACTTATTAAACCAGGAAAAAAACTGAATCAAACTTTATTGATAATGGTTCCGTTTGATCAAGTCTCTATAAGGACACAGCAGCCAGCTCAGCTGGATGAAATACAGTCTTTATGTTGTCTTTGTTCTGGATCTGCTATCTTTCTTTGTATTTATTGTAGTTTTAGTTTATAAAAGCCTAACATGCAGTTTTAATGCTTTATAATGCTACAATGCTGTTCTTCTTTATTGGATGAGGTGATGTTTTTTTTAACTGTATCATCCCCTGCACTATATTCAATTCAATTCAATTTTATTTATATAGCGCCAAATCACAACAAAGTCGCCTCAAGGCGCTTCATAGATACAGAGAAAAACCCAACAATCATATGACCCCCTATGAGCAAGCACTTTGGCGACAGTGGGAAGGAAAAACTCCCTTTTAACAGGAAGAAACCTCCGGCAGAACCAGGCTCAGGGAGGGGCGGGGCCATCTGCTGTGATTGGTTGGGGTGAGAGAAGGAAGACAGGATAAAGACATGCTGTGGAAGAGAGACAGAGGCTTAATAACAGATATGATTCAATGCAGAGAGGTCTGTTAACACATAGTGAGTGAGAAAGGTGACTGGAAAGGAAAAACTCAATGCATCATGGGAATCCCCGGCAGCCTACATCTATTGCAGCATAACTAAGGGAGGATTCAGGGTCACCTGGTCCAGCCCTAACTATATGCTTTAGCAAAAAGGAAAGTTTTAAGCCTAATCTTGAAAGTAGAGATAGTGTCTGTCTCCTGAATCCAAACTGGAAGCTGGTTCCACAGAAGAGGGGCCTGAAAACCGAAGGCTCTGCCTCCCATTCTACTTTTAAATACTCTAGGAACAACAAGTAGGCCTGCAGAGCGAGAGCGAAGTGCTATAGACATATAAATAAACTGATATGAAATAATTAAATGAAAAACAGTCAGTTTCCTTGATATCGTTAAATTCACCTCAAGGCAGAGCCAGACAGGAGTAGTCTTTTATTGCTTTGTCACTTTTCAGCCTCAGTCAGACAGTGAGGAGGTGAATGTGTCCTGGATTTTAACCATTGTATAGTCCAGTGCTGGGTGGGTTACAGTTACTGTGTGTGTGTGTTTATGTGTTAGGGCACAATAAGGCTCCAACAAAGCAGAAAATCGATTCTTTCAGGCCTCTGGCTTTGCTCACACCCCCATCATCACCCTGGGTCGTTAATCTGGGACTTTACATATGGGTGTTAATTATCCAATTCAGTGCAGGATGCCTCTGTGCATCACCCACAGCTCCCTTCTAACTCTCCTCACCTCCTCCTTATCCCCTCACAGGAGCCCCTGCATGAACAGTTTGTCCCTGTGTTTGCCTTTGAAGTGGATGTGACCTAGAAATGAAAAGCCACACAAAGAGTAGATGATGAGAGGGAGGAAAGTGTAGCCAGAGTTTGTCTTTTTCTAACCCTGTTTATTAAAAACGTGAGCATGAGAGATGTTTGGCTCTGTTACACTGTGCCTTTCTCTGCCTGCAAGTATAGCTATGAGAGGCCAGAGCCAAACGAACGTTTCTGTAAACTTAATTCAACAAGTTGGTTTTTGGTTGTGTCTGTATGCTTACAGTCTCATGGGCTCACGTGGCTTACTGCTGTCTCACAGAACTCCACGTACATCTCACCTGATTTCGATGTCTGTTTTTACACTCATTCAATATTCTCACCCAAACCTTCTTTTACTTTGCTCAGTGAGATTTACTACATTTAGAAGTCAGCAAACAGGAATTGCACTTGGACATTCCTGTATGTGGACATTCAATCAATGAACAACTAAGAAATTCCCCCAGCTGTGGTGTACGTCGGTCTGTTTGGCAACATTTTTATAGTCCTTGTCAAACGTTTTAAATTGAGAGGTCCTTTAGCAGTCTGTATTCTGTCATATGTAGAAGCTCATTTCTACATGTTTAGTGTTTCTAGAGGTTTTGCTTTAATCCCCCATGAGGCGTGATGCAAATTCCATCCTATCACATTTGGATTGGTGTCTGAATATATGCTGTTATTCCATTGGCCTATATTCTCGACACTCCATATCCCAACCCCCATCATACCTCCACCTCCTAAAAACGATCTGTCTTTACTAATCCTGCCTCCACCAGCTGTTTCTCCTGTCTGCAGTGCACAGAAGACACATCGATCCAATGTCTGCGGTGAACACATTTGAATTCACTTGTTGTGCCAACAGAAATGCACATCACAGAACTGAAACTTGCACCATTAGAGTTTATTTCAGAGCCTAATAAAAACGTGTTTTCCTCTCACAGGCCAACCTGTGTTTTGTGGATATTGACAACCACTCCATCGAGCTTCCAGAGGACTTCCCTCAGTTCCCAAATAAGACCGAATTCATCCAGGAGCTCACTGAGGTGTTATTAAGCTTTGGCTTCTCTGCCAACACTGGCGCCCCGCCCCGGACCCGCTCCAGTCCTGGCAGCACCTCGTCCACCCCAGGAAGGGAACGCAAATCCGCCACCCTTCGACAGCTAGAGGACGATGGACGTAATGGCAATCTGGCAGGAGAGGAGTTAGTGGTGCTGGAGCTGCTGCAGGGAAATGCTACGCTGGAGAGACTGCAGGCACTGACTAAACGCACTGGGGTGACTGTGGCACGTGTGGAAGCCCTGAGGGCTGGAGTCAAAGGTCAGCCCACCGACGGAGGAAACCAAACAGCAGGTGAAGAAGAGGAGCTAAGGAACGCCAAACTGAACGTTCAGCTGAGGGAGGTGTTCGCCAGCCGCTTCACTACCATGTTTGCAGACTATGAATCATTTGTTATCCAGAGCGCTCCTGATCTGGAGTCCTGGCTCACCAACAGGGAGCAGATGCACAACTTTGACAAGGTGATCAAGGTTTTCTTTCCCGTTGTGCCTCAGTCGGAAATATGTTTGTAAAAAGGTCGTACCTTATTGGAAAACAAGCGTTGTACTCAACGTTTTCATGGTATTTGTAAAAGAGGCATTTTTCTTCCCAAGATGTTTTAGTTATTATTAGACAGAAGTACAAAATGATATCAAAAGAACATGAGGCCAAAATAACAAACAAAGCACAATATAACCAAGAAATAACAATAATAAGATGACATAAACAGGAGGAAACAGTTTCAAAATAAGTTGTAGTTCATCTCACTTGGTAGTGATTTAAAAAGCAAAAGAACAAATGGAAAGAAGGGCATATCTAAGGGAAGGACAGTGGATCATAAGAAAAGCCAGAGGATTTATCATGAATTAGCTGGAGATCATCCATAATTGGAAGAAATGATAGCGTAGTCTCTTTGGACTCTATTTTCTTTGTTCTGTTTATTTGTGAAACCTGTTAGTTCCTGTTACTGTTTCCTATTAAAGTATTTTATGGAAGAATGGACAGTATTTTAAACTGAAGAATCAGTCTGCATATTTTCAGTCAATGTTTAGTGCTGATTAGACTTATTTATTTCATTGTGTTGTTTTCCTTTCTGTTAAAATTCTATATTTACATTTTCCTGGCATTTGTGGTTTAAGGCTAGCTTTGTTTATTACAAACAAATTGTTGTCTGAAAGTGGGCTCTTTCTCCCTGTGCTTGCCGTAGGGGATTGTTTTATAGTTGAGGTTTTTCTATAATATTGTGCTGTCTTTACCTTAAAATCTAAAGTTACTAAAGATGCTATATAAATGACATTGAACTGCACAGTACTGAAAATACATATGCTCTTGTGAACAGGCTTCATTCCTGTCAGACCAGCCAGAGCCCTACCTTCCCTTTCTGTCTCACTTCATCGAGACACAGATGTTTGCCACCTTCATCGACAACAAGATCATGTCTCAGTGGGAGGAGAAGGAGCCTATGCTCCATGTCTTTGACACTCGTATTGACAAGGCACGCCTCTATAATATCCGTGCTCCCAGTCTCCGGTCGTCCTGCTACCAGAGGTGCTCCATCCTCAAAGAGTCTGGTAAGCTCAGATGGGGACGTGTGTGAGAGATTTATTTCTGTGTGAACATGGTTCAGATTGTTGGTTTGAGAAGCATGTGTTGTGAAAATGAAAATATTCCAGGCTAATTAACTTTCTCACTGAAGTGAAATAAGTCTTTTTCAGTGCCTGCTTTCAGTGGAAGAGTTGTTATATGTAAGTAATGTTTGCTCAGAGATTATGCAAAAATGTTGATACATTTCTTTATATTTTGCTTATGAAATGGGAATTAGCTCAGTGATTGATGCAAAGTTGCAGTTACCATGTAAACCATGTACAAACATAGATGGAAGATGTTTTTAACTATTTTTAAATCCCGGTAGCTCTGCAACCACGTAAGCTAGCGCAATAATTTTTTTTGCATATGAAACCGGAGGAGTTGTACTTACATCTGATGCCATCAGCTTGTCCTCGGTCACAGTTTCCTTCCACATATAGCTTTGCAAAAACTGCATAAAAAGCACTTGCAGCAACAAAAACATAATATTCCGGAAACACACTTTGCCGATCCGATCAGCTGTTTGTAACACTTCCTACGTCCATCAGCGTGAACTATCGCATGTCCACCATGACCTGCCCGAAACCGGAAGTGACGTCATTTTGCGGAAATGTAGTTTTTTACCATCAGGGCCTCATGAGCCTATACTGGTGTTTTTAAAAGTTATGTTTGACTTTATGACTTTCTGTGTCGTTTCTGGGATGCTGAGGACTCATATTGCACTGCTGGAAATAGTTTATTTTGATGCACATGCTGTTTTGGGTTTTTTTGCAAATTTGCATTATAGTATTTATTTTCGTTTTTCCTGCAGTATATAAAAATTGGTGTATTTCAAAAATAAAACTATGAAGACACTCAAAATAAATTTCCTGTAGTGGGAAACTATTTTTGCAACTTTTTTGTATTTAAAGTTTTGAGGGATAAGCCTCTTAAATTTCTCTAAGTAGAAATATATGTTAAAAAACAAAAATGAATTTAAAATTTTTTGTAGTTTATTGCACTTTTGCAATTTATGTAATTACTATGCAGTTAATGCAGACATATTATTAAAATATGGGCTATAACAGTTGTATTGATGTATAGCAACTTGAAATGCTCCCAAAAATGGCTCCACAGCATGTAAAAATATACTATAAGCTCTCCCTTTAAGACCTGGTTCTATGGCAGGTCTTAAAGGGTTAAACACTGTCCAGATTGTGTGGTGGATAAAAATTTGACTGTACTTTGTCACTTTCATAATTCCATTTGTTTAGATAAGATCATCTTCACACTGGCTGAAATGCAGCCCTGCACCATGACAGAACCGCAACCACAGCATAGTTTGGCAAAGCGCAACATTTTCTTCCTGTTTCCATTAGAGATGGGCCGATCCGATATTACGTATCGGTATCGGTCCGATACTGACCTAAATTACTGGATCGGATATCGGAGGGAAATAAAAAATGTAATCGATCCATTAAATATCAACAAAGCACCTCACAAAACTTGCAACACGGCGTAACTCGGCTCATAACCGTAGCACGTCGGAGCAGTATGCATCACGTGATAGAGCGGCTGTGGCCTGTGAGACCTGTCGGTGGCCTGGTTGAGCATTTGGAGCCTCGCTACCAAACCGGTATTTCATCTCCGAGAAAGTTATCCCAGAGAGAAGTAAAGCAAGTGTGTAAGTCCATCTCTGTTTGTAAAGCATTCACACATTAAGCTTAACAACCGATATATGGAGCGACTGCCTCTCTCTCTCCTGCTGCTACTTCAATCAATGATCAGCTGATCGGCTTTTCCGTCGTGAGTCCGTCTCTCTTGTTTGTTTTTGGCCCACTTTGCACCAGAAAGAGGAAACCAGCGGCTGAACAACAGCAGCACGTTTAAGCTTGATCAGCTGTTGTTAGAATGTATTTAATATTACTTTCTACACCAGGATCTTTTTCTACGCAGCTGACGTAACTGTGCAGGGGCGGATCTAGCAAAGTTTAGCCAGGGGGGCCGATAGGGCATGAACAGGGAAAAGGGGACACAAAGACATACCGTATTTCCCGGACTACAAAGCGCACCTGAATATTAGCCGCACAAGCTAAAATCAGGGGAAAATCCTGTTTTGTACATACATTAGCCGCACCTGACTAAAAGCCGCAGGTGTTTCAATGTTGACTTATCAGGAAAGAGACGGCTGTTTGGAGACATCACGTTTATTAATATTTTGAAAAACAAGTTACGGGTACATATTTGCATAACTTTTTAGGTATATGTACAAGTAGCGGTAATTACAAGTACGAAACATGTGCTGTGCTTCATAAATGAGTAACAAATGTAGTACATAACAATAACCTACAGCACACCAGAAAAATAGATTCGGCCTACCTTTTAGGCTCAGGTGCAGTGACACGGCTTTAACAAGAAGAAAAGTCAGTGATTCACCACCATCTTTCTCTTCCTGCGCACTAAAACCACCAAAGTCCTCTCCTCCAGTGTCGGATACGAACAGGCTCAGGGTGGCTACGTCATCCACTCTCAGCTTCTTTCCTTCGTTGTCACTTTCAAAACCAAAGAAATCCTCGTTGTCAGTGTCAGAGTCGAACACCATCAGAAGGGCCGTGGCGGTGTCCTCCTCTCCATCATGCAGCAGTCCAGCCCTTTGAAATCCGTTGATGATCGTGGATGTTTTCACACTTTTCCACGCTGTCAGAATCCACCGGTGGAGTTGAGCATAACTTGCTTTTTGCAAGTTTATCGCCGCTCGTCATCCACGACTCCCGCTGAACGCGTAGCGCTACTTTGAAGTTTGTTTTTCGCGCTACTTGTACGGCACTATGTTGCCTGGCGGATGGACATGTGACCAACATACCGCTCTTGAACCCCGATACTGTGTGTCTGATCTCATGCCCTTCCGCCAGGCAACGTAGTGCCGTACAACAGCGGAACAAACAAAACAAATCGTCTTACGATATGACAAAAATCCTGGATAAACCAGAGAAAAGCCGCACCTGACTAAAAGCCGCAGGGTTCAAAGCTTGTGCAAAAAGTAGCGGCTTATAGCCCGACAATTACGGTACTTTTCTTTCTTATTCTCATTTAAAATGTCGAGCTTTTAATAAATAATTATCTGAATCTTACACCCAAAGTTTTAATCTGATGTAAAAATATACCCTAGTAAGCTATAGTACTTTTTCCTTTGGGAAGGTACCTTCTGCAGAAGAAAGATGTTGAATCTATTTAGTTATTCTTCAAAATTAATTGATTTCTGTGCATTTTTTTCCCCACACTGCATCAAATTAAAGTTGATTACGTCGATTAAGCATCATGAGGTGGAGGGTGGGGGGTGGTTCCCTATTTTTTATTTATTTATTTATTTTTGCTGGGAGTTTGTAACCCTATTAGTTAGGTTGCTAACTCTTTAAAATACCAGAATAGGGAGGATGGTGCAGGTTTAAGTTTATTAGATTGATCAGTGTTGCTGAACTATGAAATATTTTGGGTGCAGTGTATTTTTTACATACAGGTATAACAGAATAGCTTTAGTGTTTGTTTTAACTTGAGTATGAACTTATACAAAATGCAGCAAGATATTTAAAAAACTGTTTTATTGATTAAAAAACACTATATCGGATTCATGTCGGTATCGGCAGATATCCAAATTTATGATATCGGTATCGGACATAGAAAAGTGGTATCGTGCCATCTCTAGTTTCCTTCAGAATGGCTTCCTAACAAATATTCTTCCACTGAGACAGTGCATGGATTAACTGAAGGGCAGGTCTTTGCTGGATTTCTTCCAGTTTCTTTAGGATATAATTTTGAGATGCTATTCATCTGCTGTGGATCGTTTTTAGTCCTTTTGTCCCCCTCTCTAGTTTTTTTAAAAACACAACTAACAGCTCTTTGGGATCTTTTTGATGCTGCAAAAGACGATGTAATGCCTGTCAAACTGTGATTCAACTATAGAAATGAAAAATAAATTATGACTTTTTGCAAAGGCTAATGGTATCAAAGTCCTAAAGACAAATTAAAATTGCTAAGTTACCCATTAATCTGTTGTCTATTCGTCGTTGTCAGACAGTTTTAAAGGGCATTACTTCTGCCTTTGTCCGTAGTAGCTTTTTGAATCCTATCAGGCACCTGTTTAAAAAACTGTCTTGAGGCAAAGTTTCTCCCCCTTTATGACCATTTAAAACATATAAACTCATTATTAACAACTGCAAAGAATAATAACCTGGCCTTGTCTGGAATTTCGCAACATTTAGAAGACAATAAGGAGTAGTCTCTATCAGACCAGTTGTTGCTTCTAGAAATAATCCCCTTGGATGAAGTGTGGGCTGGTGCCTTGGTAGCATGCTACAAATGCAGGACATGACACAAGAATTAGAAAAAAAGCAGGGAGCACAATGTTGGTGTTCTTCTGGTTTCCTGCCAGTTCTCATGATCATTGCTGAGATCGACAACAGTGGCTTATAACTCTTCACATGTCAGCTCAAGATAACGCTGTTTGTACGAGTGAGCTGCCGTGGCTCAGTGTGTTCAGTGATTCCGACTTCCATGCACTAATAGGCCAGTCCATGTGAACTGCAGTTGCCAAGGGTGACTTCATTTGCAATGGTCTGCATACTTAATTATGCAGACAATGGACAGGCCTTTCCTCTGCCTGCCTCCCTCCAGTGCCTCCACTCAGAGAACACGCCACCTGCTCTCTGAGGACTTCAGTCAGAGACAAACGCAGTATAACCACATGACAGATGAAGATGGAGTGTGTTTGCAGTCGCTGCTGTTGATGATGTTTAATCTTTAGAAGGATCAACAAGTAAGAGTCAGTCAGACCAGGTCTCTAGAGAGAATGAACCACAACGTCATACATCATGCTGTGATTTAATATATAAACAGCCTGTTTTGAAGTGCAGGGGCCCGTTCTTCGTACCTCGCTAAGTAAGTTAGCTGGATTAGATTGTTGACGATTT